CCAAATAGTAATTCATGAAAGCAAAAGGAAGTCTGTTCATGTTTTATAAAATTTGAAGTATGCCTACTTATTTATTTATGTATGTATTTATTTATTGTTTTTAATCCTCACCAGAGGATACTTTTTTGTTTCTTACTAATTTTAGAGAGCGGGGAAAGGAAGGAGGGAGGGAGGGAAGGAAGGAGGGAGGGAAGGGAGGAGGGAGAGAAAAGGGGGGAGAGAGAGAGAGAGAGAGAAACATCAATGTATGAGAGAAACACTGGTTGGTTGCCTCTTGTATGTGCCTCCACTTGGAATTGAACCTGCAACCTACTAGTAGATATGTATCCTGATCGGGAATCGAACTGACAATCTTTCTGTGCATGGGAAAATGCTCTAATCCAGCCACCCCAGCTAAGTGAATTATGCCTATTTAAAACAGTATGACATAGAATCAAGTCCTAGTTTATACATTAAAAAAAAAGATTACTAGCAAAACACAAAATTATGTATTTCTTTCAAATCACATAAAAATGTAAAAGGGAATATATTTAACATTAGTAAGAAAACATAAAGACAGAAAATAGCAATAAAGCATTTTAAAATCTTCTAATTATACAGTAAATACATTTACCTATTAAAATCCCTTGATTTGATTTTTTTTAAGTGTCTACAAGTGACACACTTAAAACAAATAGATTTAGAAAGCTTGAGAGGAAAAGGTAAAGATAAAAAGCAGGGGTTACATCAAAGTAGAACACAAGCCATAAAAACATTACATAAGAAAATAAGATGGTGGGTTTTTTTAAAATCCACAACTCATACAACTTTATGTGCTAAATAGCTGTGCTAAAATATATATAAAATAAAAACTGTTAAATATGCAAAAATAATAAATATCACTGGTATGTTCAGTGGTTAGAGCATCGGCCAATGCGCCAAAGGGCTTCGGGTTCAATTCCCAGGCAAGGGCACATGCCTGGGTTGCAGGTTCACTCCCCAACTCCGGTCTGGGCAAGTGTGGGAGGCAACCAATCCATGCATCTCTCTCACATCAATGTTTCTCTCTCTTCCCCCGCCTCTCCCCCTTCCTCCCTCTCTCCCTTTCATTCTCTCTGAAAGCAATGGAAAAAATATTCTCAGGTGAGGATTCACAAACAAACCAAAAACTGGAAAAAAAGTAAAATTGTCATTATTCGCAGATGGCATAATATTGTACATAGAAAAACCTAAAGACTCCATCAAAAAACTACTAGACTTAATAAATGAATTCAGCAATGTAGCAGGATACAAAATTAACACCCAGAAGTTAATAATTTTGTATGGCTTTTTTATACACCAATAATGAACTCACAGAAAGGGAAACTAAAAAAAAAAAAATCCCATTTACCATTGCAACAAAAAAATTAAGATACTTAGAAATAAATTTAACCAAGGAGGTAAAGGATCTGTACTCAGAAAGTTACAGGATGCTCAAAAAAGAGATAGAGGGCCCTAACCGGTTTGGCTCAGTGGACAAAGCATCGGCCTGCGGACTAAAGGGTCCCAGGTTCGATTCCGGTCAAGGGTATGTACCTTGGTTGCAGGCACATCCCCAGTAGGGGGTGTGCAGGAGGCAGCTGGTCAATGTTTCTCTCTCATCAATGTTTCTAACTTTCTATCACTCTCCCTTCCTCTCTGTAAAAAAATCAATAATATCCTATCTAATAAAAGAGAAACATGGTAATTGGTGTACAACCGCTACCCTTCCCATTGGCTAATCAGGGCGATATGCAAATTAACTGTCAGCCAAGATGGCGGCCGGCAGCCAGGCAGCTTGAAACTAACATGAGACTTGCTTGCTTCAGTGACGGAGGACTCCAACGTTCCCCGCCTGCCGCTGCAGGCCTCTGAGCTGCAAGCAACTATGTAACAAACATAGAAGCTAAACAAAACCCCAGAAACCTGCTGGGCTTCAGCCAGCAGGATCGCAACATTGTAAGCAAAGGCCAGAAACCTACTTTCAGCAGCAGAGGCCTAAGAGCTGGAGCCAAGCCTCAAAGCTAAAGCTGGCCCAGAAGAAAAAAGAAAAAGAAGAAAAAAAGGAGCAGTTGGGAGCTTCAGTCACCCCCAGCCTGAAAACAGCCTGCCGGGGTCCAACCCCAGCAGGTCCAGGGGTCCCCAAAGGTGTAGACGGAGTCGGCGAAGAAGGAATGACACGGAGACAGGGTTCAGTTGATCAGCAGCCTAGCCAGGATCTCCAGCCAAGTTCTGGTCTGGATCTCCAGAGAGGTTCTGCTCTGGATCTCCAGCGAAGTTCTGGTTAGGATCTCCAGAGAGGTTCTCCTTAGGATCTCCAGCCAGGTTCTGTATCCATGTTGTCTTGCTAGGTTCTCCAGCCAGGTTCAGTCACCAGGTTCTAGTCAGGTTCTCTTGCCAATTTCTGTAGTCAGGTTCAGTCCAGGATCTTTTGCCATGTTCTCTCCAGCGAAGTTCTTCTGTCTGTAGGTTCTGTGTAGGTTCTGTATTCTTAGTTCTGTGTTCTAAGCTCTGTATTCTAATTTCTGACTCTTGCTGTCTTATTACATCTGTATTTATACCAGTTGATTCAATCCTATCAATCTCTATTACAAAGGTTAGGGCGTTTCTTATCTCCATTCCAGGGAGTAAAGATTATGTAGCTTAAGCATGATTGTTCGTAGTTAAAGTGATTAATTACCCACCTGGCACTTAGTTAAGAGGTTTTATTCCCTCCCTAACTTCAGGGGAAAATCCCTACCTGGGGAAACAACCTTTCTCAGAGACCTTGGTTAAAACACATAGTGCCAAGAAGGTGAGCAAACATATTAAGAACAGTATGCGATATATGCCAGGTCCCTTGAAACAGCAAGCATGGACCGGCTCCCGGCAACAGCCCTCAGCTCCTCACCCAGACTGGCCAGGCACCCCAGTGGGGACCCCCTCCCTGAAGGATGTGTGACCAGTTGCAAACAGTCATCATCCCCTCACCCAGGCTGGCCAGGCACCCCAGTGGGGACCCCCACCCTGATCCAGGACACCCTTCAGGGAAAACCAGCTGGCATCCACCCATTCACCAGGCCTCTACCCTATATAGTAAAAGGGCAATATGCCTCCCAGCACCAGGATCAGCGGAGCTGTGAGGCCTCCTGGCACCGGGATCAGAGTGACAGGGGGCAGCACCCAAACCCCCTGATGGCCCTGCGGCTCTGTGTGTGACCGGGGGCGGGGCCACAACCTCCCTATCCACCCTGCTCTATTTGTGACAGGGGAAGGCGCCCCAACCCCCCCCCCCACACACACACACGGGCCCTGCTCTGTGTGTGACGGGGTAGAGCCATAACCTCCCCATCGGCCCTGCCCTGAGTGTGAGAGTGGCGGCACCCCAACCCCCTGATCGGCCCTGCTCTGTGGGTGATAGAGGGCGGTGCCCCAACCCCCTGATGGGCCCTGCTCTGTGCGTGACGGGGTGGCACCGCAACCTCCCCATCGACCCTGCCTTGAGTGTGACAGGGGATGGTGCCCCAACCCCCGAATCGGCCCTACCCTGAACGTGACTGAGAGTGGAATCACAACCTCCCGATCGCCCTGCTCTGTGTATGACAGGGGGCGGCGCCCCAACTCCCCAATCGGCCCTGCTCTGAGCCTGACCAGGGGCTGCACCTAGGGACTGGGCCTGCCCTCTGCCACCTGGGAGCAGGCCTAAGCCAGCAGGTCGTTATCTCCCGAAGGGTCCCAGACTGCGAGAGGGCACAGGCCGGGCTGAGGGGCCCCCCTCCCCCCCGAGTCCACAAAGTTTTGTGCACCGGGCCTCTAGTATATATATATGTTTGTGTGTGTGTGTGTGTGTGTGTGTGTGTGTGTGTGTATATGTGTATATATATATATATAATATATATATATATAACATATATATATATTATATATATATATATATTATATATATATATATATACACACACACACATATATATATGTATTTTAAAATAGAGGAAGAAATAAACAAATGGAAGAATATACCATTTTCATGGATTGACAGAATCAACATTATTAAAATGGCCATACTACCCAAAGCAATCTACAAATGCAATCCCATTGAAATTCCAATGGCATACTTCAAAGACCTAGAACAAACTCTCCAAAAATTCATCTGGAATAAAAAAAGAGTCTGAATAGCTGTAGCAATCTTGAGAAAGAAGAACAAAGTTGGAGGGTTCACAATACCAGATATCAAACTATAGTACAAAGCCATTGTACTGGTACTGGCACAAGAACAGGCATATAGACCTGTGCAACAGAACAGAGAACCCAGAAGTCAACACAAGCCATTTTGCTCAATTAATATTTGATAAAGGAGGCAAAAATATACAATGGAGTCAAGGCAGTCTCTTCAATAAATGGTGTTGGGAACATTGGACAGATACATGCAAAAAAAATGAAACTAGACTACCAACTTACACCATACACAAAAATAAACTCAAAATGGATAAAGGACTTTAAACAATAAAAAATAAATAAATGGGATACATTTAAACAGGAAAAAAGAAAGAAATGGCTATAAATTCAGAAGTATATAGGCAGACTTCTTTAGACATGCAATGATAGTTGACAAAAATATAAATAAGGTTAAATAAAAGTCATTTCATGTTAAATAATGTAGGATTTGTATAAATGATAAGAGTTTGGACTTAAAAGGAAAAGTAAAATGCTAAAAATTGTTTGTTTTTTTTTAAAAAGATATTCTTTTGTATAGTTATATGAAGAATGAGAAAGAACTGAAAACAGGAAGACAATCTTCCTGAATTAAAAAAAAAAAAAAAAAAAGAATGGCAATCAGAATTCCACTGCCCAGGGATAATCCAATAATTAAATACATTTCTAGGAAATGACACCTTAAGAAGGCTGTTTCCTATCTGGATACACAGCTGTTTACTCTTTATAGTAAAAAGTGCTTTCATGTTAGTATTACTTTCAACACTGTAACAACTAGGAAGGGAGAGTGATATTTAGAAGAGAACAAAACAGAAACTCTTGGAAGCAAGAAAGGAGCATGACTCAAGGAGGGAAATTCCTGTTGCCATTAAGGATTGCTAGTATATAAAATGCCCTCTCTATGCCAACTAAGAATTCCCTTCTATGTTCAGCTTTTCTACTCCCTCCAAGAAGAGATCAAATCTGAAGCAGCAGCAACAAACATGAATGTGAAGGGCTTGGCTATAGTCTTGGCTGTGATATTCTGTGCTACAATTGCTCAAGGTATATAATACTTTTTATTTCTCAGCCTATAAATTTCTTTTCTAATTTTTCAAATGTTCTTTTCTTCCACTTTTATCCTAAAAGATATACTAAATTTTTACTTTACCTCGCACATTAGAAATTATTACAGCTTTGACAGAGAATGTAAGAAATGTTTGAGGCATTAGAGATGATTATTGAAACTAGAGATGATAAATTTCACGAAATGTATTTGGCTACAAAATCTGACAAGAGCCTTCAGCAATAGTTTTAAATGTCTGTTAAAAAGATTTCTGTGAAATAATGTTACTAGCATCCTGGAAAAATTCTTGAGCATAAAAGCAAAAGGCAAATAAGCTTGATCTCTAAGATTTCTTTTATGCTTTCATCTATTCTTTAATGATTTGGTTACAAATTTAAAGAGAAAATCATTAATATATTACTTAAGCTCCTTTCCTAGTAACAGCAGTGTCAAGTGCTATTTGACAAATGACCATCTTTATCCTTAATGAAAACTTGGCTCACATTCTTCACCAGAATTATAAACCATAGTCCTCTTTTGCAATCAGATCCATTAGTAACTGATGCTATGATCTGTTTTAGGTTTCCCAATGTTCAAAGGAGGACGCTGTCTCTGCATCGGCCCTGGGGTAAAGGCAGTGAAAGTGGCAGATATTGAGAAAATCTCTGTAATTTACCCAAGTAACAACTGTGACAAAGTAGAAGTGATGTAAGTAATGGACTTGCTAAAGATGACAATGATAGAGGCATTTTGGGCTTTTTTTTGCTTATGCTTTTCCATTCAAAATTTAAGACTGTTTTATATATTCCTTTAACAGTATCACCTTAAAAGCACATAAAGGACAAAGATGCCTAAATCCCAGATCAAAGCAAGCAAACATTATAATAAAGGTAGGTTACCAGATTACTTCCGTTTTATAATGTTTTATCCAAGACAGATCTCTTGGGGGGAAAAAATAAAGTAGACAACTTCAGAAAAGATTCTATGATCCTGTATGAAGTGTTTTGATAAGGGGTCTTTGGTTATAGTTACTTTTCTTTTTGCTCTATGTTTTTGCATGTCAACTATCACTAGGAAACAAGAACAGCCCAAATTTATAAAACTCTCATTTTCTAATTACAGAAAGTTGAAAGAAGGAATTTTTTAAAACATCAAAACATCTGAAGTCCTGGAAAAAAGGATATAAAAACTCAGAACAATTTTAACTGTGATGATAAAATGATAAGCATTCTGTAATAGGGAAATGACTTTCTGCTGCCTATTGCAATGTGCATTCATGCATTTGGAGAATTTGTAAGTTTGGAACCTTCTAGAAGACTGAATGTTTATAACTATTCTGCTGTGATGATGAAAACATTTCTAAGTTATCTGTCTGTACTTGATCTACATTCCATATTACAATCTGCAGTTAAAATGGAGACATTAATATTATTACTGGAGTCAAGATCTTATGAGTCAAAAGCATCCATCCATGTATATAATAAACATCCCCCCCCAAATTTTTTAATGCAAATCCACATTTCTTTTCCCAAAAATCATATAGCACATATATACCTAGGAAAAAGTTCTTACATGTCATCTTGTTTATAAAAAGGCAATAATTCATGAAATGTACTATGATAAAATTATATGCTAAGGAAAACTGGTAAGAATGCAAATATTTCATAACTGAATTAGCAGCTCTGGTCTTAACTTGATTTTAGCAACTTTTTCATTGATATGTTTTGAAACATTTAGGGCATGTGGGTTTACTGTGCGTTTTGGTTGTATCTATTTTTATAAATTATAGCAACATTTTGGACACATTTTAAATATAAAATGTTTTTTGTCTACCAAAGAAAATGTCGAAAATAAATATATATACATATCTGGCAATCACCTTTACTTTCTGTGATTCTTTTTCTTAGGAAAATATATAATTTTACCTTTGTAAGTCATGCCTATACTATACAATTTAGGGATATCTAAGATAGTTTTACTTTTTAAAGTACCACCACTTCATTTATATTGGTAGGTATAGGATAGTTAACAATTAACTAATACAGCACACAGAGATGGTATCTGGACAATAAAATAATGAGGGGTTCATGGCGGTCTTGTGCTCTGGTGGGAGATTGTGACCTGAGGAGTCTGGAAAAGAAGATTACTCTGACATTCCAACAGTAGGTTACCATAGCAGCAAAAGGACAACAGAGAGGCTCCATTATGGTAAAGATTGTCAAGGAAGATTCAGTCCTAGGACATGACTACCTACCATGACATACTTTTAGTTAGGAAGTTTCAATCTCTGAGCATTCTATGTGGTTTAGTTTAGGTCTCCGAGTTTGTAAGGCCCTCTATGCAGGCCTCCCCTGAGCTTGTCAGATTTAGTATGTGGCCCCTTTTTTGTCCACACTTTGTAAAACAGAGACATTCATTTGTCTTCCAAAAATATGATATGCCTTTAACAATTTCACCTTGTATTTAAAAAAGCATAAAGCTACCTGTCAACACACAGAATTTTTTAGAAATATATTTTAATAGGTAGTTGTGAAGGAAAATTTGTCTCTCTTTTTAAGGGGTCTTCCTAAGTCCAAACCCCCTTTTTACTTGGGGGCAAATCCCTTCTTATGAGAGTTTTGGTGAGAGACCAAAAAGGAGAAGCCAAAGGAAGGAGATCCTTCCCTTCTTGGCAGCCAGAACAAGATCTCAGCCAAGCCACACCTACCCTAGACTTTGAACTCCAACTAGCACCTGTCAAATAAGCTACCAGTAAGTAAATTATTTAAACTGGCAGTAGAAACAGTGTAAGTCCTAACACATGTTTGTGCGGCATGGCTGGGTAGTATTCCTTGCCACCAAGCTCCCTTAGGTTTTTGTCAATTTTCCAAGAATCAAGCCTGATTCTTCAGTCTTCCTTTAGATTCTTCAATTAAATTCCTTTTAGCCGAAGCTAGCCAGAGTTGATTTCTCTATCATGTAACAAAAAACCTTAGCTAATACAGCATTCTTTATATAGACACCTATACATCTGAGAAATAAAAATATTTGTTACAGAATTACCAAAATAGGACATTTCTGCTTATCTGAACAAAAGGACAATTTTACAATATAGACCAATCTTGAAAACATTATACTAAGCAAAAAAGGCAATTACAAAAGACATATTTATGATTCCATTAAACAAAATGTCCAGAATAGGCAAATCTATAGAGACAGACAGTAGGTTAGTTATTGCCAAGGATAAGAGGTAACAAGAAGTGACTCTTAACAGATACGGGGTTTCTTTTGGAGGTGATAAAAATGTTCTAGCTTTGGCCAGGTGGTTCAGTTGGTTGGAGCATCGTCCCACCACCAAAAGGTTGCCAATTTAATTCCCAGTCAGGGTACATACCTAGGTTGTGGGTTGGATCCTTGATCAGGGTGCCTACAGGAGGCAACTGATCAATGTCTTTCTCTTTTATCAATGATTCTCTCTCATGCTCTCTTTCTTTCTCCCTCTCTCTCTAAAAATCAATAAAAACATAAGGTGAACATTAAAGAAAAATATTTAAAATTGATTGTGGTTAAGGCTGTACAACTCTTTCAATCTACTGTACTAAAAACTATTGAATTGTATACCTTACACTGGTGAATAGTATAGCATATTAATTATATCTCAATAAAAAATTCAGAATGAAAAGAGAGAACAATTTTAATGTGTCCTTCCATTGATATCAAAGAGCCAACCATAAAGCTGATCAAAAAATTGACAAAAAAGTAAATAGCAAAGGAGGATGCCTAAAACCTAATATGCCTTCTTACTGACTGGCTTCTTGATGGGTGCCTACAAGCAATAATGAGAAGCCAAAATGTTACCCAGGGAATTTGTATATAAATCTATATAACCTGTATCATATATTTATACTGTGATATATAATATAGGTATATATTATAAGCATGATATATAATAGTATAAATTTATAATAAAAAGTATAAATACATATTAAATATGTAGTATAAACACATCCTATCTAATAAAGAGGTAATATGCAAATTGACCATCACTCCAACACACAAGATGGCCGCCCCATGTGGACACAAGATGGCCAGCAGGGGAGGGCAGTTGGAGGGACTAGGCCTGCAGGGAAGGGCAGTTGGGGGCGACCAGGCCTGCAGGGGAGGGGAGTTGGGGGGAACCCAGGCCTGCAGGGGAGGGCAGTTGGTGCGGGGGGGGGGGGGACTAGGCCTGCAGGGGAAGGTAGTTGGGGGGACCAGGCCTGCAGGGGAGGCAGTTAGGGATTACCAGGCCTGCAGGGGAGGGCAGTTAAGGGCAATCAGACCGGCAGGGGAGGGCAGTTAGGGGTGACCAGGCCAGCAGGAGAGGGCAGTTAGGGGCAATTGGGCCGGCAGGGGAGCAGTTAGGCATTGATCAGGCTGGCAGGGGAGTGGTTAGGGGGTGATCAGGCTGGCAGGCAGAAGTGGTTAGGGGCAATGAGGCAGGCAGGCGAGCAGTTGGGTGACAGTGGTCCTGGATTGTGAGAGGGATCCCAGATTGGAGAGGGCGCAGGCTGGGCTAGGGGTCACACACCCCCGGTGCATGAATTTCATGCACCGGGCCTCTAGTATACCATAAATCTACATAAATTTCTATATAGAAACTAGAGGCCTGGTGCACAAAATCCATGCATGGGTGGGGTCCCTAGGCCTGGCCAGCAATTAGGGCCAATCTACAGGGTGACCAGTGGGGAGATTGGGGGTCCCCTGCTAGCATCTGCCTTAGCCCTCCTGGCACCACCTGCTTGCCGGCCCCTTCCCCTGCTGCCGCTGCCGCTGGTCGCCTCTCTCTGTGGGGCGACTAGTGGGGTGATCAGGGGGCCCCACTGGCAACCACCTAGGCTGGCCTGGGGACTGAGGGAAGGGGGCAGCTTCTGTATTCAGCGTCTAACCCCTGGTGGTCAGTGTGCATCATAGTGACTAGTTGTTCTGCTGGTCATTCCACCGTTCAGTCAATTTGCATATTAGGCTTCTATTATATAGGATGGGACTTCTATATAAGTTCCCAAGATAGTTTCAAGACTTGGATCTAATACTTGACTATTTACAGTGATTTTTTAAGTGTATCTTTAAAAATAAAAATTCTTTGAGTTAGGACTACATGATAAAATTTTTAAAGTAATATAGTATAGACCAGGACATTATTATTGAGAAAACACCATATACTTAAATTTCTCCAGGCAAAATAAACATATTAAATAATTAACATAATACTTAAGCCATGATCCTTTTTACCTCAGTACTTTTGCACATTACTACTCCCTCTGTCCATTTCTTCACTAAGCTAATACCTACTAGTAACTTAGATCTCAGCTTAAATGATGTTTTCGACAAGAGGTCGTCTTTGAAACCATCCCTTAAATCTCAACTAAAATAGGTGTCCTATTTGTTTTCCTAACACTCTACTTTTCCATCACACTATTTCAGTTGTCAGTAAGGAATTATGCCTGTGCTTAATCTATGCTCTCCCATAAGTATAAACTCAATAAGTAAACCACTGCAGTAGTTCTAGCCCACAGTACAGTGCCTAGCACATATCAGAACTTCAATAAATATGTGAAAATAGAATGACTAAATGGCAATATAAACTAAGGAGAAAGGAACTTACTTATAGCAATGGCATGAGAATGCACAATGTTAGGAAAGTATAAGGTTAGTTAAAAATAATAATTAGACTGGTTTGGTTGGAGTAAATAATGAAGGACATCAAATGTCTAGCTAAACAACCTTGAATTTTACTCTATCCAATGGGGATTAAATGTTCAAGAATAAGAGAATGACCCTATCCAAGTTATTATAAATTATTCTAATAATGCCATAGAAAGTTAATTGGAAATGGCAAAGACTGAGAAGGGATATGTTTCCATAGCTCAAGTCTCTATTTCCCAAACTTGAAGTCATTTTCATATCACCTTTATGCATTTTTACCATATTTCTGATCAATCTTCATTATATTTTGCAAATTCTGTGTATCACTGTACTTTACATACATTTACATAAAAAGCAAACTTTCACTACTATACATGTGAAATCAGTTATCACTTGCTATAGAAATAAAATGTAACAATAAAGGAAATATAATGAAAAGTACTAAATTTCAACTATGCCAAAGATTTGAAGCAACAGGCCTGCTCTGTATTTGTTAAAAGAGAAATTAACATAGTGAGATGTCTGAAAGTCATCTTGAGACTTTCCATGATTTAATCAGAAGGACTGAATGTAAACAGAAAATAACTGATATTAAATGTTTTATCAGTGAGCCCCCTAGCATTGTCCCACACTTTGGGAAATACTGATCTGAAAAGTAGTAAGGGCAGTATGTTAAAAGAATTACAAAATGACCCAGCAATTCCACTCCCAGATAAATACAATCCCAAAGAATTGAAAACAGTTGTCCAAAAAAAATTTGTACACAAATGTTTATACAACACTATTTGCAACAGCCAAAAGGTAGAAACAACCAAATGCCCACCAATAAATGAATGGATAAAGAAAATGTGGTATATATACCAATGGAATATTATTCAGCCTTAAAAAGGAATGAGCCCTGGCCAGTGTGACTCAGTTGATTAGAGCACCATCCCGTATACCGAAAGATTGTGGGTTCAATTCCTGGTCAGGGCACATACCTAGGTTGTTGGTTTGATCCCTAGTCAGGGCCTAACCAATCGATGTTTCTCTCTGTCTCTCACTCTCTCTCTCTTCCCCTCTAAAATCAATAAGCATAGAAATACCAATACATGCTATAACATAGATGAGTTTGGAAAACATTACACGAAGTAAAAAAGCCAGACACAAAAGGCAACATATTGTATAATTCCACTTACATGACATATCCAAAATAAGAAAACCCATAGAAACAGAAAGCAGATTAGTAGTTGTCAAGGGCTCTAGGGATGAGGTAATGAGGAGTGACTGCTTAATGATTACAAAGTTTCTGTTCAGGATAGTGAACAAGTTCTGGAACTAGATAATGGTGATGATTATACAGCACTGTCAATGTGCTCGATGCCACTGAATTGTACACTTTTAAGTAGTTATAATGATAACTTTTATGTTATGTGTATTTTAGCACAACATAAAGTAACTAGAGGCCTGGTGCATGGATTCGTGCACTGGTGGGGTCCCTTGACCTGACCTGCAGGGATCGGGCCGAAACCAGCGCAGTGCACAGATTCATCCAGAGCGTGTCTGGCCCATCTCACCCAGTCCTGATCAGCCGGACAACAGCAGCAAGCTAACCTACTGGTCGGAGCATCTGACCCCTGGTGGTCAGTGTGCATCATAGCAACTGGTCAAATGGTCGAAGGAATGGTCGGACACTTAGCATATTAGGCTTTTATTATATAGGATAAGGACAGTGTGCCATGTCTCTCATAGCACAGTGATGGCTGCCTGGTATTTCCATTCCAGGAGGAAGGAGGAGGAAGGAACAAGAAGAGCTGCAGTCCACCATGCCCAAAGCATTCCTGCTGCTGTATGCTGCCCTGGTGCTACTTGGGCCTATACATGGAGCCACACTGAGAAACAAAGAGAAATGGAAGCCACTCAGCAACCCCAGAAACCAAAACCTGTCAGAGCTCATCTCCTCTGCCTTTGCCAAGTATGAAGAGCAGAGAAACCCCTTTCCTGGTGACCTCAAAGGCTGAAGGCTTCTCCTGAGAACAGGTATCTGGCTATTTTTAAACTACAGATGAAGCTGCTCATTAGAAAAAGTCAATCATGGTCATTGTTAAACTCCACCCCCCCTCCACTTTTGTCAATTTGTAATGATATTATTCTATATTTCCGGATTTACATATAAACAGCTTGACTTGTGGTACCTATGTGCATACTTTTTGCTGTTTTTCCCACTTTATAACCATAAATATCAATGTAGAGCACTGCATATAATTGCAAGTTATCAAAACACTATAAAGTCAAGAGAAACAACTAAATTAAGTTTCCTTTCAGCTTATCTTATATGTATATATTGCTTTTAACAATCAAGACTTTCATTTGAAAGGGATGTTACTCATTTTTACTTTAGTTCACTATATGTACTAGGGATTTGGGTTTAAAATAGGTATTTTTCTGGGAGGAAGACACACTTGCACTTTCATCACATGTTGTTGAAAGACCTCCCAGTCTTAGTTTCATACCAAGGAAGATCAGTGATATCCACAATTAAGTTGAAATAGAAAGCAAAAGATAATGGGATTCTAGAATTGCTGGGGTCCTTGGGAGAGGCTCTCTGCCACTGTGTTTAGAGGCAGACATTGTGCTACACCAAGTATCCTAGCCCACCTCTGCCTCTCCTGCACACACCCCCTAAAGAAGGGAGGGCA